AGTTTCTTCCTTATGTTTTCTTCATAAGTAAAAATAACTTAAAAATATAAGAAAACGAATGCAAAAAAGTGCGCTCCATACTCAAATACTTTCGTCTGAGCTAAATACCGAGATTTACTGAATTATATATCCTCAAATTTCAGTGCCCTCGGAATACCCTCTACTCAACTTCGACGAGAACGTATGGGTCTTTAGCACACTTTACCGCATTTTTTTTTCTAGTTATTTATTTAATTTAAACTTAGAAAACATCAAAATTTTGGAAACTGAAAATTCTTCACAATTCGCAATTATTCGTAAATGAATTGAAAAAACAGAGGGCATACCCGGACTCGCCAAACTAAATATGCCATAGAAATATTAATGCCGTTTTTGAATTTTTCTGAAGTAGGTTTTTTCTGGACCTTTGATATTCGATGGATAAATATGTCACGAAAATGAACCTAACATGAAAATGAAATGAACATTAACGTGGGGGGTGTCCGCCACTGACGGATACGTAGTTTAACACCTAAAACCGACCCTCCCACGCTGGATCCGCCACTGAAAAGAAAATACGCTCTTTCAAATTATCAAACAAAAATGGCCTTCTCTTGTAATTTAACATTGTTGAATAATTAGAGTTCCTATAAGGGGATGGCAGAAGTATAAAAACATAGGTATTAATTCACCTTGTTTCACGCATTTCTGTCGTCTTTTTCCCCGAAAATGTATTAAATGTTGTCAAGTATGCAAAATAAGCACGTAAAGCGAATGTATGCAAAAACCAACCAAATTGCCAGATACCTATATGCAAAATAAGCTTTATCAAGAATTTGCTTAGATTTGCCACGAGAAGGGCCATCGCCTCATCGCACGCCCCCTGTATCCGCCACTGCTTGTCTCCATCTTTTTCGTCTTCATATTCGACTGCATCCTTACCTTTACCTCCATATTTTTCCTTAACTTATTTTTATAAAGTCAAGTTTAACTTATTTTTATCTTTACATATTCCTCATCTTTATCTTTATCTTCATCTTCATCCTTTTCTTCATATCACCTTAGCCTCAAACTTAATCTTTGTCTGTATATTTATATTCGTCTTTTTCTTCGTAGCCGTTGACAGCGTCTTTGCCTTCACCTCAAACCGAATAACAGGCGGGCATGGAGCTACATAACTATGTGATCATACGTCCTGCGTTGGGGCTATCTGTCGCGCTGTTCCCAGCGAGAGTAAAAAAATCTCGGTTTCGCAAACACCACATGGACTAAATACACAAAATCTATCAAAATTTTAGTCGTTCTACCAACCTACTAATAAAAATAAAATGCACCACTTTTAATACAAAAAGCTCAAAATCGCAATCCTAGCTATGGAGACTTCTTTATTATGAGGAGGAATATCAGCAAATTCTTCTTCATCCTTTCAATCGAAGGGTTCGAGAACATGGGCGCAAGAAAATAATTCATTTCAAATAAAGGCGATATTAAAATTTTCAAATTGTCTAAACGCAAGTGTACCTTAAATACTATTTTATAAAATATAATAAACCACAGCCTTTCTGGTCAAGCTGCCGCATGAAGCTCGTAAATGCTTGCTCTTTTTAAAAAGAACCCAGTTGGCGACTTCCAGAGATTTGGATATAGCTGCAGCTGAAGGTGCAGGGGTGTACTACACGGTGCAAGAAAATCAAAGTTTTCGTCCAATGACTGCGCATCAAATTTAATAAAACCATGTTTCGAACAAAATTTGGATGTGCTAATACAGCGATGGACGATTTGAAAGAGCACCTTCACAAAGCCCAATGCGGACCTTTTATTAATTCATAGATCCTTTTAACCGTGGCTTAATAAAATTATTTCCCGTTTTTACTCGCTTCGAGATTTATTTTATATGGGGCTTTAGACTCGCTGAACCCGAATTCGAGGTCCGTTAAATTCAGAAGAATTGTATTGAATTTCAATGAATTTTTCCCTACGTGACCTTCAAATGACCTCGAACTAGGGATGTCATTGGCAAAACTACATTGATGTTTTTCTTTGATTCAATGCATCGAAATTTACATCGATATCTTTCGACGCATCGAAGGGCATACATCGATTCATCGATTTGCATAGGATTTTTCAGATAATGTTTCACAAAATAATATGTTATTAATGGCGATTTCGTTTCATGTAAAAAATGTTGCCTTTTCCCGGTGCAAAATCTGTTTATTGTGACACTCAACCCTGTAAAAGAACATGTTTTTGCCGTTTTGCCCTTTGCTAGTTCACGTTTTTCATAACAATGTCGTTTTAAACAACCATCTGATTTCCAAGTCAACCACCTCCCCAGGTAAAGCTTCAAAGGGCAAAGATGTGCCTTGTTTGCCTTACAAGAGTGTGCCATTTTGAGAAACGAACACAAAATTATGTCACCCTATTCCCCTAATTTATAATCGAACACGAAAAGAGAAAGGTGTAATCAAAAGGCGACAGTTTTTGGTAGAAACGAAAACACCATATAAAAATTGTACAAAATTTGAAATAAACTACTGCAACTGAGCTACTTATGTTTCTAAGGGAACTCTTTGGAGCCATTTCAATTTTTTGGTCAAAGTCACTTCGTTTTTTTGTATAACTGAAAACCGTGGAAAGAGAGTTCAATGTACTAGAGATGTCAGTTTTCAAAAAAAACATCGATGCGTCCATGCATCGACTATTTATACATCGAATGGAACATTTTCAATGCATCGATGTTTTTCCGACATCCCTACACTGAGCAAAAAATCAACCAAAAATAGGTTAATTTTACCAAATTCAAACTTGAAACGGATTTGGTAATATAATCCACAATTTTGTTTACATTAACCAAACATTTGGTTGGCGATATTTCGTTTCAATACGTTTATGTTCTGAATTTCACAAATGGTTTTCGAGATACAAAACAAAAATTAGTTTTATCATTTTAACATGTTGCCTTTCACGTTATTTGATCACGCATCTTCTGAATGTTATGAAATAACAAAAGCATCTCTGCACACTCAGCTACAGCCGATTTATAAATGTGTCTTCAAACATTCAACTTAAATCAACTTTCTTCGTCGTCTGATTTGATTCTGCACTTCTCAGAGGCTTTATCGTAATTAAGAAAAACCCACGGCATTCGTACTGCTAAATAACAGCAAGCATCACTGCATGGACAGCCACTGTCATACCCTGCAGGGAAACCGCGGGCTAGTGAATCAAATTTCTAGTTCCATACTAGGTCTTTACCGCCAAAAAGGAACAAGTCCGATGGGAACTAGATCCCCACCAGTTCAAAATCGGCAAAAAGTGGTACTTTTAAGAAACTAATTTTGTTTCAGTTTTTTTCACTAGAAATCTATATCTAAAGTGACGACTTTAGAAATGGTTCGGAACTAAAGAAAAAGGGATGCAGAACGAACTAGATCATATTTGTCGAATTTAGAACTATTTCGGAACTATCGAATAAGGGATGCAGCGGGGGGCTTGTTTACTTTACATACATATGTGTTCGGCGGCTTTTTCGTTCAAATACGCTTCTATTCTGCGCTTTGCAGATGCTTTTTCATAGCTTGGTAATACAAAACTAAAATTTGTGTTAACATTTCAACATCTTGGGACCGTCTGGAATCTAGGAAATAACAGCGAGCACCTCTGCAAACTCAGCTACAGCTAAAGGTATGTAAACGTACATTTCTTACAATCATTCAAACAAATTTAATTTCAAATTGATTTCTTCCAAATTCACATTTATTCCAAAATAACTTAAAATCGCACACACGGAAGAACCAAAAAGATTGGTACTTTTTACTTTCATCTGTCGATTTTAGAACTGGTTCGGAACTATAGAATTTAGGACTAGTTCGGAACTATCGAAAAAGGGATGCAGCGGGGGGCAATTGACACTTCCAAGGACATCGCCATGTTAAATTCGCCAGTTGCTTGCATGCAAAAGTGTTTATCGTGAACCAGTACTGGGTCTAAATGTACTAGAAGCGCACCAGTTCAGAACTAGAGATTTTCCCCACAGGGTATACACGAATTTGTTCTCAAATGTTCAACTTCAATCACATTTCTTACAATCGGCTTATTAACCATGAAAAAAACAAACCATAACTTAGTTATAAAACCATGGTGCTTTTGGCTCAGTGTACCTCGAACCTGACGTGATCGTCGAATTACATAGGAATATAGAGGTTTGTTTCAATATGCAGCAACTGTGTTTTTTTTGTAAATCTGCGTTATTGGATGGGAGTATTATCTTGCACTCATTTTAGTGCGAAAATTGTGGAATTTTGCGGAGACATACGAACTGCTATTTGGGTGGAAAAAAATCGAAATTTGACAAAAGTACCTTCTTAGGAAAAAGTACAGAATGTGACGGATGTGCTGATCATACATGTATTTATTAGCAGCAGCTCGACGAGTTTTCGCTTATTTGCAGTTAGGCCACAGAAGAAAAAAATTTAAGTTGGGCCGATGAGAATATCGCTGCTGAATACTATTAGTCGGAGTGTTTCAAAAACCGTACAAACTTTCGCATAATTATTAAAGATGTTTTATGTATGCCTGGAATTAACGCACCCGTAGAAAAAGTATTTTCCCTAATAAATATAGTATGGGCACGTGAAAAAATATAGTTAAACGTCAGAGTTTTAAAAGCTGTTTTGATTACCGAGTCTAACATCACAAACAATTAAATCAGCTACATTTATAGTTGAAAACTAGACCCGTTATTTAAAAACGACTAATATAAACCGTGTTTGAATACAAAAGTAATAAAATACCAATACCTACGTTTTTTTTTTACAAAATTCCGGAACGCGTACCGCTCTGAAAAAAAAAAAAATAATCGTCACTTTATACATGCTCCACTGATTCTAGATAGGAAGTACACAAGAAATTAGTACTTAAATTTTTGTTGGTCAACGCGATCTCCAAAACATACGTCGGGTACATAAATGTACAATAAAGTTCGATTTCACTGAAAATAAAGCGCTTTACTTGCTCTCGTTTTTCCATTTCTATTTCTCTTTATTTTGCACATTTTTACGAATCTTATGGCGTTTTCTTTTCTCGAAAAAAATGCCACCTTCTTATATGGCAACATTATCAGAGTGCAACATTTTAAAGAAAGAGCACGTAATTGCATGTGAAGATGCTGATAAAAGAACACAAAAACTTGTCAGCCCTGGCGCAGGGCAGAATAAAGGCAATATTATTTCGAGAAAAGAAATCGCTATTAGTAAACACAAAGCAAAATGGATTTTCATAAAATAACTACCGAAATGACTGGCAAGAAAATAAAAAACGACAACCACACAAGACTACATTACTGATTGTTGACAATAGACCATTATATGCGTAACAGAGTATTATCAGCTCAATAAATAGCGTTAACATCGCCAATTCCGGTATGGAAAAGATTTATGCTCCTTCACAATTAGAGGCGTAACTACTGACTATTTCAAGGCTCGAGCTTTGCTTGCAAACGACATACCATGAGATTTTAGTTTACTGTGAACCGCGGTGGGTAACAAATGACTTTAAGAAGATTACAAGTGCGCATTAAATAAATAGCTTTTATCGCGTACGTACACTGCTATGTTTATATATGTACATATTTTTAAGAGCCATATTAGAAATTGTTAAATACGTTAAAACAAAAATTGTGAATTTCGCTTAAAATATGTGCGCAAAAGTAGACGTAATTTGCATTTCATTTTCGTTGTTTTGTTATTTGATAAACACAAACGCAGTAAATGTGATTAATTACCAGTCTCAACAGTCAGTCAACCATGTCAAACGACAAGCGAGCGTTTTACAATCACAACAACAACAACAGTTGCAAAGGTGGTGATAGCGATTATCAATTGTAGCAAAGTTTAATGTTGTTTCTTATAATTTGCATACATATTATAATGACTGCTTTATCTGAAATAGGTACGATCAACCTTCACATCGAACACTAATACCGTCTAAAGAATCTATTTTTCGCCCTATGGTAAGATTTCTGAATGCAACGCCAACACAACAACAATCACAAGCGATTGGAGTTAGTTTACCTTTGAATGGTTTAGCTCGCCTGGACAATCAACGAAGTAAAACATTTATTACACAACAACATATCGGTCAGATTCAACAACAATATGCAGCACCGCCAGCTGTAGTAAATCGAAATCTACAGCGCAGTCCATTTCGGCCTCAGCGGTATGACCCACAATTTTTTTCACAACTTAGCCAACAGCAAAACTTTAATCAGCAACGTCAACAATTAAGACCAGTGCCATCATTACCACCATTACCAAATCCTCCAACATTTTCTCAGTATAGTAAATACTCACAGCAGCAGGTTTTCACTTTTCCTCATTATGTGCGGCTAAACCAAATATCGCAGCAACAGAATCTATATCAGACTCAGCAACCACAACAGTCGGTGCAATCGCAGTTCCAAAATTTAAACTTTCGTCGACCACAAATAACCACAGCGACGCAGCATCAACAAATCGAACAATACGATCAGCCAGTACCTTCACATATCCACTCGGGTGTGAGCCTTGGTCGGTTCAATAGCACAAATTCTGTGATCAGTCCGTTGCTCCCATCGTACGCGGAGTAAGTTTCTCGTACTCGAAACGTTATGTACATACTAGGAATGTTAATCCCGGGATCCCGGGATCCCGGACTTTTTAAGGTCTCAAAAATCCCCGGATTGCAATAATAGAAACTCCTTTTCTTGACAAGTATTGGCTATATTTCTTTTTTATTTAACAATTAATATCTTATAAATGTGTAGCTCATTATACATATAACACCGCACAATAATAAATTTTAAAAACAAATACCAATATATTCGTGAAATCATGTGCCAAATATAGTAAAATTGCGTTTTTAGTTTTTAACTCTGACGTCAGTAATTCAATAATGATTTAAAAAATTCAGAGAAATATGCTTAGAGAAGAAGTATGGGTATAAAATTAATGATGAAATCCTGTAGAATTTAAACATATTCAAGTTCCTGGTGCAGAAGGGCTGGTAAATATTGAAAATGTCATTTTAAAATTGTATCCTTGATATTTCGCAATATTTGTTTTTGAAGAAATTATATGTTAAGGTCTTATATAAACTCGATAAAATCCTCGAATCCCGTTCTTCCAACTTTGTCAGCATAAAAATTACCTATTCGTCCTTGTGAATCCAAAAAATTTTAATTTTTTAAATTCTAAAGGAATTTCTTATTGCATTGGTTACCCATATTTTTATTCTACATTGCATTGAATTTTTCGAATAATTTTTGGAATTAATCATATCTTTGAAATTACGAAGACCTTCAAAATAAATCCTGCGGTCAGAAGGCAAAAATAAAAATGCCACATTAAATAAAAAAATAGGTTTCAAACCCATTTAATTATTACTTATTTCATGGTGGGAGAGCTTCTCAAGCAATATAGAAGCAATTTTTTCTATTCAAATTGTTGAAAAGTAATGAATATATAAATCCCGGGACTAGTCCCGGGATCCCGGGATTGTGACAGCGCCATCCCGAAAATTCCGGGATCGGAACAAGCCGAAAAATTAACATCCCTAGTACATACATACATACGTGTATATGAAATGTGTTTGCACCAAGACATATTAATGTATGTATTCCACTTTTTGGTATCATTCCGTTTTTCTTTTTTGTAGGGAAGACGATGCATTGACGCCATTCAATTTTACTCAGCCCTGTCAAATTTGCTGCATTGAGGGTCAAAAGCCATGCCAGCGATGCTGCGATTCGCGACCACTTTTAAGTGCAGGTGTTCTGAAGTCATCAACGGGTTAAATATAAAAGTGAAAACGGAATTTGTACATTGCGCCTTGTTTTTTAACTTCAACATAAAAGGCAAGACTGCTCCTAGATAGCTGCGCGTCTGGTCATAAAAACGTGTGCTTCTAAAAAGTTTTAAATCTAAATAAAATAAATGCCTCAGACGCTCGAAAGCTGCGCTAATTCATGCAACTTTACTTTATGGTGACCATAAATATGAATTGAAAATGCAGGAAATTTTTTCAAAAATATACCTATTTACTGAGATGTATTGACGTATAATAAAAACTAGAGTGCCAGTTACTGTCGAAATTCGACAGTTTTTCTAGATTTAGAAGCCTTGGAGAGGTTTTCTAACTTAACACGCAAAACTTAGGCGGTACAAATTAACTAACCGGAAAATCTTCTGCTAAAACGTAACTAAATTTTATTTTGTCTGAGAAGGTCTTTGGAGGACTTCGGTAGGACTTGGAATTGACCCGATACATTCAAGTTTATCGATAAATTTCAATGATATGATACATATCGATAGTTCGATGAATTTCAAGAAAACTAAAATTCGTTAACTCGACCAATTTCGATAACTGTGAAATTCGATGGCTCGATAAATTTCTATAACTCAAAAATGTAAAAACTTTGGATACCTTTATAAATTTTTACTTTTGACATCTCCACATTTTTCGAAAACTATCTAAACATTTTCATAACTCGTTACACTCTGTTAAGACGATTAAATTCGATAAGCAGTGATAAATCGATAAGCTTATGTAACCCTGAAATTTCGATAAATCGATATATTTTGAAAATTCCTTAAACTTCGCTTCGTTGAACCAACCGATTTCAGTAGATCAATAATTATCGATAACTCTGTAAGTTGAAAGAACTCCATGCATTAAGACACCATGATACATTTCGTTAAGTCTATAAATAATGATAATTCAATAAATATCGATAACTTGATACATTTCTTTAACTTGACAAATTTCGTTAATCCCACACGTTTTTATAGCTCGATAACTATCCGTAAATTTGGACAACTAAGTTTCTGTGTCTATAAATTTCGACAACTCAGTAAACATTGATCAGTTTGAATAATTCGATACGTTGTGATAACTAAATAAGCATGGATAAATTTCGATACTTATAAAGTCCGATGATTCGATCAATTTCAGTAACCTTTATGGCTGATTTTATTTCGATTCCTACCGGAAAATTTCAGCTCTGTTAACCTAATTCTTATGTATTTCCCATTATCTCCATTTTCGCTTTTATCTCAATTTTCGTCTTTATCTTCACTTTTGCCTTTTTTTTGTCTTCATCTTCATATTTATCATTATTTCAAAGTTTAATTTCAAATACGAAGTAAAACCAAATGCGAAACAGCTTAAATTGAACAGGTTGCAAAAACAACCATACACAAATATGGAAATTTTTAAACGACGATTTTCAACCAATTTACTATATACTATATAAACTATAAAAACTCTCCTCATCTACAGAAAATTACCTTTCCAACGGTGTTTTTGGTTTTGAAATCGGTAGCTTTACCTTGGTCTTCATGTTTGTTTTTATCTTTCACATCTTTGCTTGTATCCTTTCCTTTTTCTATTCACGTAGATGAGATGAGGTGCGATAACGTGATAAGATGTGACGTGATTTCATGTGATGTGATAGGATGTCATGTCATGTGTTGTCATATCCTCTGATGTCATGTCATATGATGCCATACCATATGATGTCATATCATGGGATGCCACGTCTTGTAATGCCATGTCATGTCATACGATGTCATATCATGTGATGTCAAGTCATGTGATGTCATCCCATATAATGTCATGTCACGTGATGTCGTGTGATGTGATGTCATATTATGTGATGTAATATCATGTGATGTCTCTTCATATCATGTGATAAAATCAAATGTGATGTGATGTCATGTAATGTGATTACATTCCATGTTCCGATTAGTATATCTATAACCCTGTTGATAACTGTGTCGATAAAAATACCGATAACAATATCCATAAACATATAGAAAAATACAACGATTGTAAAATCGATTAATTCATCGATAAATATAACAATCATCAGCATCGATTATTGTACATATCGTTAACAATATAAATGACTAAATCGATAACAAAATCAATTATTTAATCGATTATTATACCGATAACAATATCCATCATTGTATCGATAACAATATCGATTATTATATTGATTATTACATCGATTACAATAGCGGTTATTTAATCAATAACAGTATAGATAACAATATCGATTATTTTATCGATAGCAATATCGATTATTATATCGATAAAAATATCGAGTTTTATATCGATAACGATATCGATCTTCATCCTCGTCCTTTTCTTCATATTTATCTTTATTTTTGCATATTCCTCTTCACCTTTACCTTAAAGTGTTTAAATTTACTTTGACCTTCGTTTTTGCCGTACCTCTAGGCATCTTTGTTTTTGTTTTTATTCTCAAACCGCTAAACCGCTGAGAACTATTTCCATGTGCATTATTCCCATTGAATTTGACAATTTACTCCCAACCAACCAACTGCCGCTAAAGGCCCGTCCACATAGAACTTTGGCGTTGCGTTGGCGTTGGCGTCGCTTCAACAGCTGACTATGAATACATGAATTCAAATGCAGCCGTCCACATAGCCAAAATTCGACAACGCTCACGCCAACACAAAGCAAAAAGATGGCCAACTCTCAACTTTTCGCGTGCGTCGCTCGTCAGCTGTTGCGAATAAATAAAATTATGTGAAATATTTTTCCTTTTTAATCAAGTGCGGGCAAGAAATATCGTTTTTAATGCAATTATTGATATGAAATATTAATTTATCTGTCGTTAATATGTTAATTTAGTGGCCCAAGGATTCGCCGCCAAGCGTTCATTGTAGCAAGCATACTTTTAACGTGCGTTCTGTCAAACCAACGCCAACGCCAAAGCCAACGCGAAAGTTCTATGTGGACCGGCCTTAAAGAAGAGTACTTCATAAATTCAAGAAATGTTCTTACCCTTTCAGTCACCCTAATTCTTATGTATCTGTCATTGTCTCCATTTTCGTCTTTATCTTCACTTTTGCCTTCTTTTTTTTTTTGATTTCATCGTTATCATTTATTTCTTCATCTTCATATTTATCTTTATTTCAAAGCTTAATTTTAAATGTGTAGTGAAACAACAGGCGAAACATGTCAAATTGAACATGTTGCAGCAACATCTATACACAGTTCGAAAATGTTTAAACGACGGTTTTGGCCGTAATTTTCAACCAATTGTGAAAGCATAAAAACTCTGCTCATCTACGGAAAATGCCTTTCCAACGGTGTTCTTGGTTTTGAAATCGGTTCGGTAGAATCGCCAAACGAACGGAGACAAAATTTATGTTAGCGTATTAATATATAGACTAGAGTGCCAGTTACTGTCGAAATTTGACAGTTTTTCTAGTTTTGGAAGCGTTGGAGAGGTTTTCTAACTTAACACGTAGCAAAACTTATAAGGTACAAATTAACTAAGCGGAAAATCGTCTGCTAAAACGTAACTAAATTTTTTGATGTGTATACATCTTTGGTTTCGGTAGGGGTAAAATTTGCAAAGCTGTAACGCATATCCCAGCACAAAATTTCGAAGGGCTTAGGATGTGTATCTCAGCATAAAATTTTTATTTTCATTAGAAGCGCCCTGTGTTTGCTTGCCAAATGGTTGCATACATTTAGGCATATGCATAGTAAGAGGAAATGCGCTTCAAATGATTATTACTTCCGATTATTTAAACTCTGCACATGCATACGGCTTTGTACCTATGTATGTACATAAATATGTATGGACTCATTTGTTGCAACTGGGCATGAATCACGTAACTTTGAAGCAATAGTCGTTCAAACGATACTGACAAAACGATGTTGTCAAAACACTGATTTATGCATTTGTGTAGCGGTTACGTGATAATAGCCGCCATCGATTCGCCACTTTGCTGCTTGCTATGTTTGAGTTGCGGTCGCTTAACGAAAAATTTTGCATGTGAAAGCAACAACAAAGTTAGCTAGCACGGATAGACGATAGCGAGTTTGGTTGTACCTCATTGTATTCGTTCGTTTCACAACTCGCTAACTGTTGGCGAATCGATGACGGCTACAGTTACTGTTACGGAGAGCAAAACTGGAATCGAGTTGACGATATGACGAATGTCGTCATACGTGATTCATGCCCAGGTTTTGATATTCGTAGATGGTTTTAGGCATAGGTTTAGTAGTCTATTTTGGTAAATTTAGGAATATATACAAATAGAAATGCTCAAACTATAAGCTCAAAAACAATAACTGATGCGGTGTTTCCAAGATATTTTAACGCCCTTGAGTGACAAGTATATACAAGTATATTTTATCAATCATACCGATAATTTCATGTATTAAAATAATTAAAAATGAAAATGAATAAAAAAATTCAATCAGAGAAATGAATAAAATTAACTGAAATTAATATTTAATTTCTAAACTAACCTACATTTGTATGTATGTAACTGAATCGCTTAATAATAGCTTTACATATAAAAAGATTATCCTAATATTCGAGCCTAACTCCCTAATCTGTTATTAGAAAAAGAGATTAGCCATGCAAAATTATAATTAAAAATATCCCAGATTAAACCGATAACTTTTTGGTGTCCAACTTAGTTTTATCGATTATACTTGAGAAGAAGAGGAGGAATGTCAAATATTAAAGTAAACAAAAATTGACGCTAGTAAGGAAAATAGGTTTGTAAAGTATTTTTAATAAAATATTCAGTTATAAATATATTTAAACGGCCTAATATGTGCGCAAAAAAAAGTGACCACGGTGGCACAGAGAAGAAGATTAACTTTTCCTCGAGTTGTGTGAATAACAAGCACAACCAATTTGACAGCTATCGAGCTTTGATTGAGATTATATTTATATATAAACGTACTTTTATGCTTTGCCGTTCGCATATGTATACACATCAAATTTCATGAGTACCTAGTACTCACGCCTTTTTTTTTATCATAGAAGGTCTTTGGAGGACTTCGGCAGGACTTGGATACCCGATACATTCAAGTTTATCGATAAATTTCAATGATTTGATACATTTCGATAGTTCGATGAATTTCAAGAACACTAAAATTCGATAACTCAACCAAATTCGTTAA